TTTACCTTCTCCATGTATGTGACTCTTGGGGATCTTACATGGGGCGCAGGGCTAGAGCAGAGCATGATTTAGGGGTTCCTGGGTCCCCTGGGAAAATACCATCACCATATCAAGTTGACTGCACCCCACCCAGCTCCCAAAATGTGCAATCGGGTGTCTATTTAATATGATGTCAATTAACTTGAGAAATTCTGTTCTTTAAGCTTTACTGGTGGGCAAATAAGCCTATTCAGTGGATCACCTTCGCCTCATTTCACTCTCCATGTCTCTGTTTTAGCTCATCAGTACTATCTCATGCCTAACAAGGCAAGAGAGGGCAATCCTTTAGTTTCTCAAAAGTAATTATTACCTACGTTAAAAACAAAAGCAAAAACGTAAGGAGTTTCTAGACACTTAAAATCTCCTTAGAATTTCCGAAGTAACCATTAAGCCATTTGCACCCTCTCTAAATTTGTTGAATTAGAATTATTCTCTCCCCTACCCAGCAAAATCAGTAGAATCTTTGGTGACACAGGTATTAACGCTGCCCATCATCTAATGTGGGAGGTGGCTTGAAGGTGGCGCTGGAGAAACGGGCAGAAGCTGATGCACAGAGCAGGGCGATGTCTGAGTAAGAGTTATCCATTTACGTTTTCATTTTAAATCTTTATTGCTTTTCTCTGATTATAAAAATAAATGCTCATTGTAGTAAAATCCAGATCTTTCAGAAATATGTAATTCAGAAAGTGAAAGTAATGCATAACTCCAGCCGTAGGAGCAAATCCTTCCAGCTTTTTCCTCTAACATTTATTTAAATGTCACTAACATTTATTTAAAACAAAATAAAACTGTTGCGGTGGTTGTCTTTTAAAATGGAATCATACTATGTTTAACCCAGCAACTTGCTTTTCTTGCTTAAGTTTTTATTTGGTCTACCAAATAAGTAACAGATCCATCACATTGTTTTTAAAAGGTTGCATAGTATTCTATGGTATGAATGATTCACAGTTTAAGCAAATTTCCACTAATGGAAAGATGTTTTTACAATCATTTTACTTTGGTGAACACTCTTGCTCACATATCCTAGCACACATGTGGAAAGCATTTTTGGATAAAATCCTAGAAATGGATTTGCTGGGTCAAAAGGTGCATGTATTAACATCTTTATTAGACAATACTTAAATTTTAAGTCTTTAAAATTGGTCTGTAGTTTGAAACAGCATTGGCACAATTCTTCGTTGCAAAGTTTCTCAAAGAACAGCCACCAAGTCTAGTTTTCTCTGATTCCTTTTTCAGAAGTCATTGAGATGACAGTTTCCTGTCACAGCTGGCATGCGACCTTTTTCAGTGTTTTCAGTTTGTCAGTGCTACAAGAACTGTAAAGCATGTCAAAAATATTTGCCATTTTTGGGGAGTAAGCGTTTGGATTTTCTTTTTTTTCAGGTGACATTAGCTTCAGGTATCTTTTTGGAGTTTTGAGGATTAAGATAGATAAAATAAGACTAATCTATTACCCAATTTTTCTTCCTTCTTTCATCTCCAGGAGTGACTATAAGATGTTGGTGCTCTTGGGACAACCACCTGTGTTATCAGCTGTAAGAGGCCACGTCTGCCAATTCTCATCTACTTAGCATATGGTTACTGCTTCTAGCAGTTTTCCAGTATTTGTGACATTAAACCTAAGTCATTAGTTCTGACCATCTTAAGCAACACTTCTATTTCAAAGGGACAAAGAAGATAGAATTTCAAGAGAAAAATACTGATAATAGTACCGTCCTGACCCTCTTAGTCTAAAGTGATTTTTGCTTTCTCTAGATTCAGATTTTAAAGTGTCTGTGCTATTCATTAACTTGGCAATGAACTTCCTTTGGACTTAAAAAAAAAAGATACAAAAGTTAAACCATTTAAGTGTTTATATAAATCAAATCACTAACTATGTTCCCCCTACTAGATTCTATGCTCCATGAGACAAGGGACTTTGGTTCACTGATGTTTCTCCAGCATCTAGAATGGCACCCAGCATACAGGCGTTTCATACATATTTGTTGAATGAATGTCAAATTCTTTGAAGGTAGGAATCTTCTTATTAGTTTTGCATCCCCAAAGTAAATGCCAAGGTGCTGATTAAAATTAAGGAAAGGATCTTCATTCAGGAGCCCAACTTAAGACTTTCCTAGAAGCTAAATGTGAAATATCCCTGGCCTAAATAATTTCAAGATTCTTTCCAGCCCTAACTTACTATGAATCTACTAGTTTTCAAAGAATTAGAATCCAATATATGTTACTAAAACTGGAGTGAGAATAATTGGGTAAATCTTTGATTGAGAAGGCAGTGCACTGATTTTTCTAAGCCTTCGAATCATCATTATAAAGATCAGATTTCAGAATTAAACTACATTGACCCCAAGCTATATTCTGTAAGTCCCTTATTTGAAAAAAAAAAAAAAAATCATGGCATCAAGTTGTTAAGTGGGAATGCCTGTATAATCATAAAAATATATTTTTAATGTTGCTGTATAAGCAAGAAGGCAAAGCAAATATTTGTGTACATTTATTTTCTGGAGTATGCCAATGGTGGTATGACCTTAATGAGACAGACATCTGCCTTCAAATCCATGTCAAATGTGCAGTTATTTGGATTTAAAGCTAATAAAAATAAAAGGAGTGAAAAAGAATTAAAAAGGAAATCAGAATGAAAAAAGGATCCATCTAAATCTGGGGCATATTTTGGATAATATACAATATTTTGGGGAATAAAGGCAGAAAGAAAGAAAAAAACATACAAGAATCAATTTTAGAAAGTCACTCCAGAAAAAGGTCCATTTTATAAAACATGATTTAATTCTAGTCTTTTAGTACTTATTTATGTCAGACCACCTCTTACTGGATGTTTGGTTTCCTGTGTTCAGACTTAGAAAAATTATCTTGTGGTTAGAAAATAGCATATTCTCAAGACGCTTGACTGAAAAGACTGTTTTTTTTGGCTTACTATTTTTTACAGCAAATTTTACTTTAAAAAGAGAGTGAATTAATCAGATTTGAAATTAACTCTCACTGGTAGAACTGTAGTGGATATATTCAGTCTGCTTAAAAAAGAAAATGGAGCAGATCTTGAAAAGGATTTTATATATGAGCAGTTGACAGAAAGAATAGAGCCTGACAGAATAAAGGAGTTTTTGATCTGTTTTAAAAAAAAGAAAAATTTAAGAATACTTGGTGGGGAGTCGGGGGAAGACTTCATACAACAGAGTAACTACAGGAAGGCCGGTGCCCAAGTTAGACTAGAGAGCAAAGTCTGAAGAACATCAATAACAGAAGCACTCTTGGGGAAAACTAATATCAGGAGCACTCCTATGGATAATTTACTAAAATAAAAAGGTAAACAAGTATTCAATTTGTTGAGGCTTACAACATTAGAGCATAGTACACTTGGAATACCAGACCCTCAAGAAAAAGAAATGCTCAAAAAAATTTTTAAAGACAAATTATCAAAAAGGTTGTAAAGTAAAAATTAGAACATTCTAGCTTACTTGAGGCAGATGAAAATAGAAAATGAGGTAGGGATATGGTAAGATATTATTGCTTTCAATTAGAAATGGAAGAACTGTTAGGATCATACATTTTAAAGTGAATGGAAACTTGTCAATGGTAAAAAATGTACAAAAAAGTAAATTTCAGCATTTAAGAAATTCCAATTAAATCTGTAAAAATTTCGCGCCGGCCCTGTGGCTTAGCGGTTGAGTGCGCTCCCTCCGCTGCTGGCGGCCTGGGTTTGGATCCCGGGTGCTCACGGACACACCGCTTCTCCGGCCAAGCTGAGGCTGAGTCCAACTTACAGCAACTGGAAGGATGTACAGCTATGACATACAACTATCTACTGGGGCTTTGGGGGAAAAAAATAAATAAATAAAATTATAAAAAAAAATCTGTAAAAATTCCTAAAACAAGTGTTTTTTTTGACAACCTGCCACGCTTGTAATATTGATATTACACTTGTAATATTTATAAATCTTAGAATTAAAAAATAAAATAAATACTTCTATTTTAAAAGATGCTTTTGAAGCTATAAAAAATTATTCTCTGCCTATTTTATTTCATGGAAAAACTTATGAAATATTCAATATCTACACCAAAACAAATATGTACAAAGTTCTAAATTTCATTTTATAGGAATACCATTCATTAAAGAACAAGGTGCATGAATATCTCAGAGACAGGCGAGACGCGTTCCGAGTAGAGGCCCAGTTCAACTTGATCATTTCACGGGCGCAATAAATCATCCAACAGCCCACCTTCAATAGCGAAGGTAGTCATAAAAATAGGCCGATGGTTACTTTACTCCAGCGATAACATAATCCTCGGTCTTATTGTTGTGGAGCAGATGTCATTATGGGTGGGGCTGATGCGCAGAGCAGCTGAAACATTTTTGTACCACCCCCCGCACACTTTCAATGGGATAGACGGGGCTCCGACAAGGTAAGGGAAAAGCTCTCCACGATCAATCCCTACTAGAAATAAGGAAGTTTTGGTGTGGCCGTGGTACACGGAAAGACCACAATGAGATGTTTAAAATACCCCATGATTAAGTCCTACCCTGGAAAAGAGATCGTCCCTTTCTTCCCTCCCCTGCCGGCTCCTCCTTGGGACACTTGGCTGAGTCTTTCTTTCCCTCCTTCTCACGCTGAGGTGAGGCTGCACGCGAGCCGGGGACGCCTGTTTTTCTCTTCGCGCGGAGGGAACTCTGCGGGTAGGAAGCCCGGGTGGCAGGAAGGGAGCGGGCGGCGCTGTGGGGAAGCCGAGAAGGCTCGCCGGAGACGGGCCGCGCTGGGGTTGGGAAGGGACACGCGGGCCGCCGGGCCGGCCGAGGAGGCCGAGGTGACGAGGGAAATCTCCCGGCTTGGAGCTGGGGCCGGGCGCTTCCGGCGGGCCCAGCCGCTCTCAGCCGAGCGCGGCTCCCGTTCTAGGCTCCACCGGCGCGGGCAGGGAGTTGGTAGAGAGGGTAAACCGCGGCTCGCACTTGCCTGGGACCGGGTGACCAATAACTGGTAATAGTCTTTGCTCGGCGCCGGGCCTTGTCCTACAATTTCGAAGAGAGTCTCCGGCAGCCACGACGCCATCTTGGGACGCCACCGCCGTCGCTAAGACAACCAGGAAGGGGCGGGGCTTGGTTGGGGTCATGGGGCCAAAGCCCTAGTTTAAATCGAACCCTGCTTTTGGGCTGGCAGGCGGTTTCTAACGTGGGGTGATCGTTCCTTCTTCCAAGGGTCACAGGGAACCCTGATCCGTGAAATTTCTACCTTCAGGTTCCCGGTGACCTGAAGGGGAATTAGTTCCTGCTGCCACAGAGGGGAGGGGGTGACCCCGGCGGAGGGATACCAAGCGAAGCTCACATTCCCCTTCCTGGTCCCTCGAAGGGATCGGGAGGAGATCGCAGGCAGCTGGGGGAGTCGAGCCGGGCCGTGGGGGAGGGAAGGGCGATGTGATGGGCCGCGAATAGGCAGCAGGGCCTGTCCCGCGGACGAGCCCGTCAGCCGGGGCCGAGGGGCAAAGTAGTTCCCGGAGGGTGTTGGAACGGGCAGGGAGGGAGGCAGCGCGGGCGGAGGCGCACGCCGGGCGCGGTGCTGCGGCTCAGCTGATAATTGAAGGGACCCGAAGAGCCGCCGCCGCCGCCGCCGGGGGGGGTGGGGGGAGCGAGTGGAAGTTACTGCCGCGCCACCGAGTCCGGACCGGAGACTTTGGGGCCCAACTAGGTAATTGGGGCGCAGCTCCGAGCGGCGGGGCCAGGCCTGGGAGGAGGGGGCTGTGCTGAGGGGTTGGGGGTGTAGCGGGGGGGGGGGGAGGAGCTGGAACAGAAAGTCCCAGGAAGCCCGGTTGTGTCATCGCCGCGATTCAGCCCCCGCTCGGCCTGCTCCCGGCGGTGGCGGCGGGGCCGCGGAAGGACCGGGCCGGGGGTTGACGGGCGAGGCGCTCGAGGGAGACCGCAGCCGGAGGGACGGGGGCCGGACGGGAACGGGGGTCGCTGGGTTCCCCCCTGTGGCCCCCCGCAATGAGGAGGGCCCTTCACGGAACCGGGGTAAGGCGTGCGGGTCTTGGGGAGCCCGGCGGGGGTCGGGGGGGCCGGAAGTGGGCTCTGGAGCTTGGAGGGCGTCTAGGAAGAGAGAAAGTGGGGGGCCGGAAGTGCAGGTGGGGGTTGTGAAGACGGCAAGGGTTCCCCGGAAATGGGATGGGGGGCCCGGAAACCGGGAGAGAGGAGGCTCCAGGGCCGGGGACGGCCCGGAAATGGAAACTAGGGAGCAGCTCGAGTGACAACAGTTGTGGGAAGCGAGGGTCAGAGGAGGGAGAGGCCGGAGTGACTTTAGACCGCAGTAAGGGGTTTCCTGCCAAGGGGGCGGTTGAGGGCGGGCGAGGCCGGAGCAGGGGTCTGCGCCGGGCAGTGTTTGGGCCGTGGGAAGTTGAGGCTGAGGGAGGATGACAACGAGATGGGCATGCGGGGGGGGCATGAAAGCGGCCGAGAAACTTGGCTGAGAGGAGCAGAGCATCCTTCTAAATAGATCAGAATGGAAACTGGGGGGGAAGGGGTCTAGGACTTGGGAGAGGGAAGTGGACCAATTGTCACTCCCATCGTATTAGCATTCAAAGCGAGTCAGGCGATTGATTTATTTATATGTGGATTACATAAAACATTATAACGTGTGTCCATTCAGTTCACCCTCTCTCCTCCATCCTTCTCCAGAGTGAGTGGCTTTCTAGTTCAGAAACAAGTTGGGGGAGTTCTAATAACCAAGTAAAATCCCACATCCTGCCCTCCTCCTCGTTCTTCCACAGAATAAGAGAAATCCTGCATTTGCTAGAGGGAAAAATTAATAAAAATTCAAAACCACCTGCATATCGGGGGGCAAATAACTTACCCATTTGAACTCCTGCCGGGGGACGGGAGGGAATTGATTACCCTTGTGTGGTGAGGAGAGAACGGAAGGGGCAGTTCCTGCACCCTTAAGAAAGATTTGTTTGTTTTTGATAATACCGGTTTACCTCGTCTGGGGCAGGTTTAGCTTAAGGATCGGGTCTGGCAGGGGGTATAGTTGAGTTGCTTCGTTAGTGAATTGGGGGAGGGAATGTGTCAGTGTGTAAACGTTCGTGGGGGAGTGGGGGTGGGGGGTTCGTTTGATAGCGCAGTGAATCTGTTCCCAGTGGACGTGTAACTGCTCCCCTGCTGTCTCCCTTCCTAGTCGGCCTTCCCCGGTCTTGCCCGGGCTGCCAAATCACCCGATCCCCAGGCTTGACTATGTTCTGTAGGCCCTTTAGTGGTATGTTTAACTTTCTATTCCTCTCCAGTCTCCGTAGATATTTTTGGCATTTCATTTTTTAAAGACCTGGCAAGTCGAGGCTCAGAATCTCCTCTCTAAAAACAAAACAAAACAAATACGGGGTGGAAAGTTGAAAGAGCTATTGAGTGGGGTGAAAAACCGACGCTCCGAACAAAGGTCCTAGTTGTTGGAGAAAAAGGCAAGAGGCCTATATATGAGGCCTGTGTGTGTCGCATTTACACCCAGGGGGAGGGAAGCAGTTAGGGTTGAGGAGTAGAATTAGCAGAGGTTTAGAGACAGTAAATTACAGAGGGTTTTTTTGAGGCTTATTTTCATATTTACAGCATGCAAAGAGATGAATATTAAGTGGGAATTTGAGAGTAAACACAATTTCTAATTCTTTCTTTTGAAACTCCTTGCTCCAGGTTCAGTCCCAGAAACATTGAATTAGTGTGGCTTTTATATCATCTCTGTGAGCTTGGGGAGTTTTTATTTCATTTATTTTAGGCTTAAAGAGAGCACATTAACATGGTTGGGGTTTGTGGGCTTTGTCCACATCTGCCTTTCTATGAATGTGCCAATATCCATAAGAATTGAAGAACTGTAATTAAGATTATCATTGTTTCCATTTGCTCCCCAGTTTTTCAGGAGTTTGGTATTTAAGTCTGCTCAGCTGACATTTACTATTTAGTTTGTGTCTATGGACAGGCTTTTTGTTTTAGTTTTTCCTTTACTTTCTCAAAGTTTTAGAACACTGGCAGTAAGAGTTTCAGAAGGTACTAAACTAAAATAATTATATTTTAAAAAATAAAGGGCCTGCTAGGGCAGGGTAAAATCAATGCTTTCACCAGCAAAGTAAATTCAGAGTAATGTTGACTTTTCCTTTCTAACTTTCAAGATTACTGGATTTACCTTACCTGGATAGGTTTTATGATCCTGTTGTAAGGACATCATCATCTAGCAAAGAGATGCGCACTGGCCTGGGAATTCACACACTGTCAGTTAGTAGCTGTGTGACCTTGAGCTATTCACTTAACCTATCTGGTCTCCAGTTATTTTTATCTGTAAAATGGGGTGGGTAATCCCTATTTTACCTCACCGTGGTTGTGAGACCCAGTGGCTGTCATGGCTATGAAGAACTACAAACTGCTAAATAAGTGTAAGATATTATCATTAGTTTTAGAAAATTATGTTAGCTATTTTGAAGTCATTGAAAAAAGATACAGCTTCTCAGCGGTGGTGGTGATGGGGGGTGGGCGTTGATGTAAGGTAGGTTGAAGATATGAAGTTATAGTAGTTTATAATGTGAAATGGCTGCTAAGTTGGTAGTGGAACTTGGCCCAGTTTTTATCTGTTAAAATAAAATTGTTTTTTGCATTAGCATGCTAGATGCTTTTTCACTATACATCCTACTGAATAAATTTGTTAGTCCTGTTTAGAGAAACCTCAGACAAATTTCTTGGTGCTTTTGTTATTGACAAAATTTGTTCCTGTTCTGGTGTGAAATTGATTTTCTAGTATCAGAGACTACAGTTAAGGAACCACATTTCTGAATCTTGATCTGTTTATAGAATCTAGGGAGTTTTTTGTTTTTAATTCTTTCAAGTGGATGGGTGGGGATCTTTTTGAGCAAATGTGATACCAATTGCCCCTTTATTTTTCCCTGTTTGCAGAAGTAATTTGAAGGACTCGGGTTGAAAAAGCAACCTGCTTGTTGCTTTTCATCTTCGCTCAAGTTCTTTCTCCTGCCAGCCTGACCTGGACTTTTTCCTCATTTAAGGTTCACTTCAACTCACCCCTTCCTATCACTTCCTCAAAAACTTCTACCCTATGATCTTTTCTATTTCTTGATTATCTTTATATGCTTCATTTTGGGGTTTTAGTACTAAATTTGTTGACATGTGTTGCTTTTGTTTCCTCAGCTGGATTATAGGCTTCCTGAGGGCAAGGATTTTCTAATATCAGTGTGTTTTGCATGAAGGCGCACTCCTAAACTCGATTGAAAATAATACCTGTTTTCCTTCCCGCTCCAAACCAGTAATGTTAGCCTGGGCTTGCTCAATGTATAAACCAGTCTTCCTGCTTGGAAAGGTTCTTAGCCCCAGCAGATTGTTCAGGATGCTGTTTGGTTTAGTGATCACTGCCTCTTCACAGCTCCCTGGCTAATGTGCCATCCGAGTGCCTGGATAGGGTGCTGGATGCAAGAGTGAGAATTCAGTGGATATTATTCTATAAGTATAATTTGTAGATAAGTATAATTGATGCTTGTAGTTCTTAACATGTAATGTTAGCTTTACATTTGTGTATTTTCTTTTAGTGCCTGGGTATAGTTCCAACAGCTATGTTGCAAATTTCTTGAAGGCAGAAACCCCTAGCACTTGTTCTTTACGTCTTCTACCTGGTCTGCTAGGTTACTCTGTACGTAGTGGGTGTTTGCTGTTATTTGTGGTAAGTAGGTAAATATATTGATGCTGTCCAGTCTCTTGATTTTTAAGTAAAATTGAGTTTGGCTAATGTCCTGGATTTTTAAAAATGCAGTTCTCTAATTAAATCTAATATCCTAACTTACTGCGAAGTTGGCAAAAGAAGTTGTTTCCTAGACTGAAATAAGTCTGTTCAATAGTTTTTCTCTGAGGCCTTTTAGATTTTGGTTGTGATTCTTGTAGTTTCATTTTATTGGATCGTCCAGAAGAAAAAGGAACTTGTCCGTTATTCAGACTTACCTGTTTTGTCTTTAGTTTGCAGAAGCTGTTGGTAATAGTTTTGTGGTTGTGCTTGATTTAAAAAGTCTTTGTAGTGGCATAGAATTGAAAAAGCTGCCTGCTACTCTGTGCTCTTTCATAAGTGAACATTGCTGTTCAAGCGAGTATCTGATTTGAAGGTAAAGGACTTGAGTTCTAGTCCTGATTCCCTTTTCTGTCTTGCCAGTTTCTTTTCTGTCTATCCAGTCCTGATGCCTTTTCTTTCTTTGTGACCTTGGGCAAATGATTTAACCTTTCAAGTGAGTTTCAAGTGCCTAATCTGAAAAATGTGGTTAGTGCCACCTAACCTAGAGTTAATTGTCTTTTGTATGCTAGACACTGTATTTAGGAGAATAGGCTACAAAGATGGGCTGGAACACAGGGTCCTTCCTCCGTTGGTTCATTGCAGTATTGACCATTGCCTCATTTGTTAACACCCTCCTACCTAGAACATACTTCTAATATATATGTAGGTATCCTACTTGAAAATATTCGAGTATACAATGGTATTCCTTAGTCAATTATGAATTCCTTGACGTCAGTCTTCCCCCTTTTTATCCTTGGTATTTAACACAATGCTTGGCCCATCATAGGGATTCTTTAAATGTTAATTGAAGGAATAAGTCTTATAAGAATAAAATACTGTAAGTGAAAATATTTTGTAATGGGTCTTAATGTCCTATTTTATTTGTTTTAATAAAC